TGTTCGACTTTCAATCACAGGGGTGAAATGTTTTAAAAAAAAATAACAGGGTCTTTTGAACGAATTTTAATCATAAATACTGATATTTTGCCTGTAGCTTTATTTTAGATCACTTTTAAGGTTACAAGTGTGAGTTTTATACCAGGTGAGCGATGCAGGCCCATTGGGCCTCTTGTTTTATTAGATTTTATACTGTATCCTAGTGAAGAGTTTGCGAGTGTAAGACAATTGTGTAGAATTTAAAAAAAAAGCACTGGGAATGGTTGAATGTTTCGTTTACAATCTCAAAATTTTAGAGATCAAATGAAGTAGGGCAGCTTGTCGAATGATGGTAAAGCATTCCCCAAAAACCGTGTCAACAGATAAGAATCAGTACATGTCTCGTTCCAGGTAAGACAGATTTTTAAACGCTAACTAAGAAATCTTGAAGGAGCAAATAAAAAATCTCCACAAACTACAATTGGCAGTCGTGTAGATACGTAAGACTCAAGTAGAATTGTGCATACACAATATTTCGCTGAACATGTTTTTCGCCGCTTTCTGAGGGTCGATCATGACTTCGATGCCCGATGAGTGTTTGCACACGTTGTATACCGAAGTTACCCTGAATTGTCCACGTGCATGGATAATTATATATTACATGTACAGTATGCTTTTAATCCTCGATAGAAGTAAATACAATCACGGCATGACTCAAATCGTGCACAGTTGAATTGAAATTGTATCCTGCTTTTAACTTTATGAAGAATGATGACGAAGCCAATGAGAAGGTCTTCCTGATAGATAGATTGGACCCGGGGGATGTTGACCTCTCATACCGGTAGGTAACTATGTTCTCTATCAAAAATAAAGATTTTGTTCGGTGGTTTTTTTGTGTATTTTACGTCCTATAAGCAGCTATGGTTGTTTAGAAACGTGTCGGGTTTTGGTGGTGGAGGAGAGCCGGAGTACCCGGAGAATGTACCTGGTGACTGCCCCACGTAGGCATCGAACCCGCAACCCAGTGTTGGAGGGCTAGTGCATGGTAGCAGAATTTCATACGTTTTAACAACTCGGCAACCGCAGCCCCGCTCAAAGTTATGTAACAGAGGTCATTTTTGTTCAATGTCTCCGAACCAGGGACTTCTGGTTTACTGGTATTAAGCTCTACCGAATGAGTCAATGAGAACTTCTCCCTAGCCGAGTCGGCAGGAAGCGCCTAGAATGTTACCAGGGTGAATTTCATTATCTATTTGAATGCAATAATATAACTATATCCCCCTTACGTAACAAATATATTCCTCGTTATTATTGTACAAACCCAAATATTTATAAGTTTAAAGGTCTTTTATCATTATGCAATCAACGAGTTCTGACAGGTTTATCTATTTTCCTAACCAAAATGGCTCCTCTTTTGTGAATGATGCATATGTTAACTGTTAATAGTTAAATAACTTGTGAATTATATGTATGTTTATTTATGTATTCCATTGTATGTCATATGTTACTATACCGTACCGGTTCCAAATTGAACTGTCCATTCTTTCAGTTATTGTACTTCATTTGCCATATCTGCAACTTTAATATTTCCTCGTGTAACACATATTATGTGTCCGATTGTTAATAAAAATATTGAAATCTTGAAAATCTTGAAGTCACCTTGACCATTTGTAATAACCCTATACAGGGTTCGACCGGAACA